ATCGTTGTAATGTCCAAGATCTCTGTAGAACCGTGATCGTTGATGCCGGCCAGAAGAGTGATGCCGTCCTGATAAGGCAGGAGCTCCACCATGCCAACTAGACATGATGGATCCATTAAATAAGTGTCCAGTTGAACATCCGGCCAGTGGACAATACCTCCTTCGAGTGTAATGGATAGAACCAATCCTCTTTGGGCACCCATAAGAGGGATATCCTGGATAGACTACATGAGATGGCCAATCGTATCTTGATAGATTGAAGCTGTATTCCTGAGTCCGAGTGGAAAACAAACTAGGTCTTTGAGTTGGACTTCAGGTGAGATCTCCAACTCGGACAAAAGTGACGTGTTCGAGCGAGAGTCATGGTTAATGATGACCTCCTGAGTTTGAGTCGAAACCAAAATTGAGAGGTGCGAAAACTTCTCGACGAGTTGATCTAGCGTGATCATCGAGACATCCGGTGAAGCTTGGGGCACCAAGATCTCCATGAGATGACTTTGGAGCTTACCATTATCATCTGCCTTATAGATCCAGGAGCCAAAGGTGAAGGTGATCCCCACCGGAAATCATGTTGTCGAAGTCCGTCGAACTCTCGATCGCGAAGTCACCAAAAGCCCCTACCTAGCGCACCAGCTATCGGTGTTTGATGACCGACAACCCGTCACAGGGGTACCTAGGACTCAACGGTAAATGCAAAGAGAAACTATTTATATTGGTTCAGGCCCTCTTGTCGAGTAATAGCCTTACGTTCAGTCGGCGTGATGCCTTTTGCATTGGATTGATTGTATAATTTTTAGGTTACAAGGGGGTGCACTGTTCCTCCATTTATATAAGAGAGAGGATAAGGGCACGTATCTAGTCCTAGTCGCTTACAAGAGAAGAATCCTAGTCCTATTACAGAATCTAGCTTTCATAATAACTTGACTAAGTCGATCTGGAATAGCTTGAAGTCCACGCCACCTTGTCTCACGTCCTTCAACAGATCGTGGGCCATCCCAGGGCCCATTCGGGTGGAACTCCCATAGGGAACTCCTAGGACCCTGGTCCATCAAGTCCTACCCTGAATATGTTGTTGTACACTGAATAATGCATTTGATATGTGAATTTCATGCCAAAACTAATAAATACCAGAAGTATGATGGGATTCTATGGAACATTAGAAATGGTTATTCATAGATGATGCATGAAAAGGGGAGGAATTTTGGGTAAAGGCATAAAAAATATGGGTAATATATATTTAATAGGCATAGCCTTCCTAAATTTATTTTAAGTGCATGTATTATGACTTGATGTCCTAGTCGTGTCCCTTCTGGTTGAGTTAACTTCCACTACATTGCACTAATTGCAAGTAAGCTTGTAGATTTGTATTTTATTGTTATCTATTATGTTGGATTGAATATCAACATTCCACATTACACATAAATGTGTATCATTATGTTGTGCACTCTAGTCGAGCTGCAACAATCTACACTCCTGCATGAATATTAGCATAGAAGCTATATTCATAACTTGTAGCTATTACATTTTCCCCTTATAATTAAATTGGCTAGCTAGCACGCTAGTTCTTGTTGAACTAAAAATATTTTGCTTTCAATGCGTTGCATGCATAAACAATATATTGGTCTATGACCAAGTAGCCTAAGATCAGGGGGAATTGGTTAATCTAAAATTAGCTAAAGATATGTGCAAATCAGGGGGTGAACATCCCTAAGTTTGTAGGAATGCTGAACATTCTTAAGTGCACTTTATATATTTTAGCTCACTGTATTTAATGAATAATAACCCCTATGTTTAAATATGTGCGTGAATATTTTCTATTAAACTACACCATAGCATACATGAATGGTCATCCACTTGTAGTTGGAGATACATGAATTTGAATTATTTTAAGCCCATAATAAGGGATATCTTTTGAAGTATGCTATTAAAGATCTAATATTGGCATTAGAGGGAGAGAAAGCCTATTTTGAATGCCAAATATTATTTCCATAGAAGAAAAATGATCTTAAGAGAAAAATATTCCTTGAAGCTTGAGGTAGGGTCACGCACTAAATCAAATAATAGTTTGACTAATGCTCTTATGAAGCATGAAGCGGAGCATATGCCAGATATTTTTAAAAATGACAGGAGTAACTTGAAGTTATAAATCAGAAGTTGTGTTTACTAGTAGTAAACTAAATGATGTATACTATGAATCAAAAATCTACAGGGGACGCCTATGAATTCCAGTTTAGTGTATACTTGTTAAATAGAATTAAAATGAAAATCCTCTATTCTCATTAAGAGAATACCTCATGAAGAAGTTTAAGCACCTCATGAAGAGGATCATCATGAAGATGAAATCCAACACACTAAGTGCGCGCATCATAGTGTTGGGTACACAAAACAATAAATTATCTTTTGTTTGGGAAATGACAAAGAGATATAATAATTTCACATTGTGAGAGTATTGGGAAAAATAATAGTTGTCGACAACGCTACCTCTAAGTTGCAAGGCTCTGAAAAACAAAGTCCATAGCAAAGTCGCCTGTATCGATTATATCGAGTCAATGAAGAAAATAATTGAGGTTGAATCTCTTACTGAGAAGAAATAAATGTCCTACTATATGTCTGACAAATGAAATTAATGACTATAAAATATGCAGATAATAAATGGATTATGAAGATCCAGATAGTTCCTGAAGAATATAAATCGCAACATATAGAAATCTCATACTATGTATTAAAAAGTCTAAGGTAGAATATATTTCTAAATGAATATTGAAGTCTTAAGAAGAGCATGTCCTAGAAGGAAAAGAGTCATTGAACGGCTTTGTAGTGGATAACACTATTTCATTATGTATATCATATAATAATCTCTCATGTAGTGGAGACTATATCTTATAGAAGAGAAATGTTATTAGCTAAGAATGAGAATATCCTTGAAGAAATTAATCCACGAAGGATTTACCAGTCGATTCTTAAATAAACACCATTAATCCCTGAAGTGAATACAGACCCGAGAGAAAGCAAATGAGGAATCATAAATACCATGAAGGTGTCATATAAACACTTAGAAAATGTATATTGAAAAGCTAGCATTAAAGTGATGATATCCTCTAAATACCAAAGAAGGTATAAGAATAATGGTGATCTTGACAATTGAATTATCCACTAAATGCCAAATGCAAGACTGGATTTATTATTTAGTGGTACAATCAAAATCCTAAAGATTTGTAGAATATATAATTTGAAAATCCACTAAGAAAGAATTATAAGTATTCAAACTCTAGTATAAGTTTGATGCACTATCTAGAAGATATTGAATATTGTAACTTATTTACCCTCATAATCCTTTGAAAGGATTTATTACCTTAAAGGATAAAATTTATTTGTTTTACACAACTAATAAGTGGTCATTACGCATGAAGCATATTGCTCTTGTTTTTCCCATATAATTCATAGAAGAATTATAAGTCATCTTTTTGAAAGATATGGTATTGTGGTACTGCATATCATTAATTAAGCACGCATTTATGAAAAGTGTGGTTTGAGCAATGAAGTTCAAATTTTGGTTTTGTGAGGGGGAGCAATTTTATTAATCTACCTTGAAGGTAATTAAAACCACTAGAATTACACAGATCAAGTAGATCATATTTGCTAAAACACTAAAGTTTATGTGTAGATCATGAAGATTAATATCTATCATGAAGAATAGAATATCCCAAAGAATACAAGGCCAAGAAGGTTAATTGTTATAATCTTTTTCCCAATGTGAGTTTTTACTTAAAGGTTTCTCACACAAGGTTTTTAATGAAACAACATGTGCAATGCAATTAACGAATGCGATGTACTCTTTTCTCCAAGAACCGTTTTTTCTCATTGAATTTTTGGATGAAGTTTTTAATGAGGCATGTGCATATCGTGGTAATCGGCCAAGGGGGAGTGTTGTCATACGGACTCTATCCTAGAAGAAAAGGAGGAGGAATCCTAATCTAGTCCATTTGTACGTGAGCTTTTACCAAACTCTTAAGCCTTGACAGGACTATATACGTAGAAGCTCTATGTTGTAATCATAAATATTGAGAGAAATAAAAAATAGTCCCCCTATCTTTTATATCTGTGTTCTACTTTTGTCTACAATGTTATCATGAGAGACGGGGAGAAAAAGATTCTAACCACTAGCAACATGTTTTATAACAAAATATAGAGTCAAAAATATTTTATAATTTGGAGTGGAGGGAGAATGAAAGTTTTTGGATGAAGGAAACTCTTCACAAAATTATGAAGAGATTTTGGAATATTCCGTTTGACTCACACTAGCATTCTATTCCGGATTCGTTGAACTGACGGGAGGGTCCCACACCGTCGGTGACCCTGCGTGCTCACCTATGGGCTGTTCGGCAGGACTGAAAAATAAGCCAAAATACTGTTCAGGACAAAAATCGTTCACCAAAAGCTTGTTCATATGAACACGGCTAAGTCCCCAGTAAAAACGCCGCCAGCCAGCCGAACGCTGCTAAAATTGCTCAGGACACGTCACCAGCAGCTTCTCCACGGCGTCCCCGCTTCCTCCGCTTCCTCCTCTTCCTCGCCTTCGCGGCCGTCGCTGCCGGCTGGGCTGCGGCGGGCACCACCCTTACCGCGTCCCTCTCCGGCCACCAGATCAAGATCCGCTGGACGGGCCTCCCGGCCCCGGACGGCCTCGACTACGTTGGCATCTACTCGCCGCTGTCCTCCCGCGACCGCGACTTCCTCGGCTACCTCTCCCTCAATGGCTCCGCCTCCTAGCGCGGCGGCTCAGGGGAGCTTTCCCTCCTGCGCCTCCCCACCCTCCGCGCGCCCTACCACTTCCGCCTCTTCCGCTGGCCTGCCAACGAGTACTCCTACCACCACATCGACCACAACCGGAACCCGCTCCCCACGGCAAGCACTGCGTCGCCGTCTCCGCCGACATCTCCGTCGGCGACCCCGCGCGCCCCGAACAGGTGCACCTCGCGTTCGCGGATGGGATCGACGAGATGCGGGCCCTGTTCGTGTGCGGCGACCGCGGGAAGAGGGTCGTCAGATATGGGCTGCAGAAGGAGGACGAGAAGGAGTGGAGGGAGGTGGGCACGGATGTGAGCACGTACGAGCAGAAGCACATGTGCGATTGGCCGGCGAACAGCATCGTCGCCTGGAGGGATCCGGGATTCGTCTTCGACGGCCTCATGAAGGGATTGGAGCCCGGAAGGAGCTATTTTTACAAGGTACTGTGAATTATCCCCGGCTGTAACTTGGAATGGTTCAAATTTTCTGATTTTAGTTACAATTTGGCTCTGTATCAGTTTTTAATAAAAAAAAACAGTATTTTACTTATGTCAGTAAATTTTGTCCCAGAGAAAAAAAGGTACTAGCTCCTCTCAAGCCATGCATGCTGTAGCCTAAATGTTACAGTTGGGTTACCTGAGGCGCACAAGGGTTGGAATTAATTGTGCTTTATAGTGTGCTGGATGGATCATTGTGTTCCTAAGATTAAATTGTGTTGATCCAGAATTAGCGGCATAGTAAGATTTGTTGATTCAGCATTAGCGGCATAGTAAGATTTAGGACTCGTTTGGTTCCGCTCCACATGGCTCTGGCTGTGCCTGCCCGTGTCCTGTGCTTCACTGTGCGGTCCTGTAGCGGCCTGTGCAGCAGCTCTGGCTCCGGCAGATTTGAACTGAGAACAGGGAGGAGCCAGGGATTTGGGGCTTCGATGGCTCCTCTATAGTACTGCTACAGTGCACGGAGCCGGAGCCTGAGCCAACGGAGCCCCTTCAAATGGGCCCTTATTGGTTCAGCATTGGTGACATAGTAAGATTTGTTATTCATTAGTTAAACAGTTCCTAGTGGAGATATATGAAGTACTGTAGCTATGTGTTGGGAGGTTGCAGGAAAAAAGATTGAATTTTGTATTCAGCATATGTGCCATAATAAGGCTTTGATTCTCAAGTTCTGTGATCTTGAAAATATGCACAGTGAGAGTTTTTTAAAGAGAGGAGTATTCTCACTTGCTAACAGTTTGTCTGTTGTCTTATAAACTTTTCTTAGGTTGTGTCGGGTACCTTAGAACGGGGTACCCCAAGCAAACATCAAAATAAAGCTAGAAGGTAAGCCGTGGGCCCCTCACCGGCCACGATCGAGCCCTCCTCCACCTCGCCTCGAGCCTCGAGCAGGAGGTCTCGGAACAAACTCTGCCTCGCGCGAGGCTCCCCAAGGTAGGCCTCGGCAGGGGGCGCCGTCTCCGTCTCGCCCGAGGCTCTCCAGGGAAGGCCTCGGCAGGGGTACATTCTCCATATCACGCGAGGCGTCTCGCGCAAGGCCTCAGCAAGGAACCTGATCTCCGTCTCGCGCGAGGCCTCATTCTCCGTGTCGCTCGAGGCCGGGTCGCCCGCAGCCCGTCACCCCCCGCCTCGACCGACCCTCCAGACAACGTGTCATGTCCCATTAATGCTTCAACCACTCCCGCAATCTCAGCCGGACGACGGCTCAACGCCACAGAATGGCCGACGCGACCTTGGTCGCATCAGTATCCTCTGCCGGCCGGGACAGAATGCGGCGGGGATTACCGCCCTTGTGTCCTAATATCAGTATCCACGATCTGCGCCATACCGGCCGGGATAGGGTACGGCAGGAATTACCGGCCACTGTGTCCTAACACTGTACCCACGATCAGCCGCCCACTCGAGGCCTCGGCACCGTACACCAAGGTCTCGGCCATCTTGGGGATCGTGCTTGTCGAGACCCCTCCACCATGGTGCAGCCTCGACACCGACCAAGTCTCGGCCTCAAGTCTCGGCCTGATCCGTCCACCCACGTGGCTTGCACGTCCACCGCCGTGCACTCCCGAGGCATCCCGGGGCTCCCACGACGCCTGAGGATCGATGGGACCAGCCACGTCGCCCCAGTGCTCAGGGATGGACCACTCCGCGGCCACACCGCCACGAGAGCAGGCTCTGAGGGCCCGGACACGCCGCCTCTGTTCACATGACGCCCATATAGTCAGCTCATGTACCGCCGCCTAGTCCTCCCTTCATGCTATAAAAGGAGAGGACACAGGTTGTTTTAAGGGGGGGCACCTTGTAACACACACACACACACACACACCTCCTGCCGCTTTGAGCAACGTCTCAAGCGGCCCATACGGCACCCTACCGAGACCTAGGACCAGCTCCTTCTCTCCTTTAGCTTGTAACCCCCTACTCACGAGCACCTCGGTGCAAGGAATACAAGATCGATCTCTCGAATGGGCGTAGGGCCTCGATTGCTGAACCGGTATAAACCTTGTGTCTCTTTGCATCACCATCCGGATCGGGAGCACATGAAACAAATTCACTTGGTTGGTTGAGGACCCCCGGTCCAAAACACCGGCGATTAAGCGCGCCGGTAGGGGCAGCTGCGTGTCGGTTTCGTCATCCCAAAGAGAGTTCGGATGGCGGACCCGTCACGACCATTGCGTCTCGGCACCGTGGTTTGGTTCGGGGGAGCCTAGAGTTCATGTCTCTAGGGCATGAGTACGACATGGTGCTCCTCACTCCTCGAGCCCCACCAACCAACGATGAAGTTCGCCCGGCGAGCCAGTGGCGGCGGTGTCCGGCGGCCGCTCTCGCCAGCTTTCGCCAAGCACGCAGCACGAACAAAGCCACCCCCCAACGCCTTCTGCGAATCCGGGCGACACGCCACCCCCGCCGATATCCTCGACCAGGTGTTGTACAGGGGTCCTGGTGAGGGACACATCTAGCTGAGCTTGGACAAAGGAGACTTGCCTATGGCACGGCGATGCCAGTCGTCCAGCTCCGCTCCATCACTCCTGAAGAGCCGCCCCGGCGAGCGAGAATCTAGAGGCGGCACCGTCCCCATACCCCTTTGGGTTGAGAAATGCCGCCGCCTCTTATGCCTCGCGCTTACTGCTGCGCATCTCACGAGCACCCCTCGGCGCGCCGCCAGCGCCGCTCTCGGCTGAGCACCCTCCCAGACTCCTCGGGATGAGGGCGAGGCATGGCCCGGGTGGATTTCTCCAAACTCCACAACCACAGGGCTTTGCGCCAATTCTTGGCCATGGCGACTCTCTGCCCGCTACTCGACTCCGGCAGCGAAGGCACCTCGACCCCCTCGCGAATGTTTTCATGTCGGGCTCGGGATGCCAAGGGCGGGCGAAGAGGACGAGGGGCGGTAGCCGTTCCCGCTCCGCCCGGGCGGCGGCGTCGCTTCACCTCCACCACGCCCGTCCTGCCGCCCACACAAAATGAGAACGTCGCTCTTGCGCGACCTCAGCGCCCAGACCTAGAACAGCTCCGTGAGCTCCAGGCCAAGGTCGAGCAAGACCAACTCCTTCTGCAGCAGCTTCGAGACTCTCTTGAACAGGAACAGCGAGGTCGCGGCGAAGGCGGGGGAGCCCGACGGAGGGCCCTCGACGTGCATCACCGCATCCATAACGACGAAGAGAGTGAGCAACCCCCGATCTTCAATCGCGCTAGCCAGAACGTCGCGGGCTGCGGCGATCTTTGGTTCGCGCAATGCCCGAGCCTTCTACAGCGGAGGGCGGTGGGTCCGCGGCGAACTCTCGAGATCTCCTAGAGACCGCCAGCGGTTCACAAGCCAAGAGTTACGCCTCCCGGCAGCGCGAGGCGTCTCGAACCTGCCCGCGGCACCACCTCGGCGGGGCGGGGAAGCCTCGGCTCGTCCGAACCCTGCTCGAGCACCGATAGCTCACGGGGTCCCGTGCTCCTTGACCGCCTCGACAATCGACACGAGGCGGGGAGACCACGAGGTGGTCGGCCGGCAGCAGCGCCCACGGCGGTGAGGGGCCCGCCCGAGGCTACCATGTGCACCGAGGTAGCCGCTTCTGACGGCGAGGAAGACCGCAGCCCTTCTCTGAGCCACGGCCCTCGAGTCTTGAGCAGAGCTATCCGTGTCGCCCGGTTCCGGCCCGTTTTGGCAACCAGCCAACCTCGCGAAATACAGCGGTGAGACCAACCCCGAACTCTGGCTTGCCGACTACCGCTGGCCTGCTAGCTAGGTGGCGCGGATGATGACCTGCTCATCATCCGTAACCTCCTGCTCTTGTCGGGACTCGGCGCGAGCACAGCTCGAGCACCTCCCTCCCTCACGATCCACGGTAGGCGCGACTTGGTTAGGGTCTTCGTTGGGAATTTTCGAGAACATGTCGTCGTCCGGAAACTCCTGGGACCTTAAGAACTGCCGCCAGAAACCAGGCGAGTCTCTTTGAGATTTCATCCGGCGCTTCTCCAAGCAGTGCACCGAGCTGCCCAGCGTCGGCGACTCGGAGATCGTCCATGCTTTCCTCTCTGGCACCACCTACCGGGACCTGGTATGGGAGCTAGGTCGGAACGTGCCACGCGCCGCTCTTTGCGCTCCTCGACATCGCCACCAACTTTGCCTCGGGCGAGGAGGCCGTCGGTGCCATCTTCCCGACAATGACGCCAAGGGAAAAGCGGAGGGGCGAGGCCCCGATGCCTCGGCCTCCCACCTCCCTAAGAGAAAAAAAAAAGGCGCCTAGGGAAGCGGGGAGGCCATGGAGGCTGATCTGGTGGGGGCCGTGAAAACATAAGAATCCCGAGGCCCCAAAGGCCCTAGGCCTTTCGACGACATGCTCAAGAAACCATGCCCTTATCACCAAGGCCCGGTCAAGCACGCCCTCGAGGATTGCTCCATCTTTGCGACGTTACTCGCCCGAGCTCGGGCTCCCCGATGACGCGCCAAGCGAAGAAGGGCGCCGCGGCGGCCGGGGCGAGGACAAGGGCGACGGGTTCCCAAAATGCATAGCGCCTTCATGATCTTGGCGGGCCCTCGGCATGCCTTCTGGCGCCGCAGCGCAAGAGGAAACGCCGAGAAGTCTTCTCGGTCAAGGTAGCCACCCCGGTACCTTGGCCCGGTCTCGAGAAGCGATCACCTTGATCGAGATGACCACCACGACCATGTTCGAATCCCGGCGGTACCCTTTGGTTGTCGACCCGATCATCGGCAACACCCGACTCTCAAGGTGTTGATGGGCGGAGGCGGCGGACCTCAACATCCTCTCGCCAACACCACTAGAACTCTTGGAGATCGACCGGTCGAGGCTCCGGCGATGTCGCACCCTTCCACGGCATCGTGCGAGGGAAGCCGCGCGACCCCTCGGGCGCGCGACCTTCCCGTCTGCTTTGGCACCCCCTCCAACTACCGCAAGGAAGTCCTCACCTTGAGGTAGTCGGGTTGAGGGGCCTAC